ACCTTAGAAACTGGCTTTACAAGTCATTATAAAACAGCTCTTCAAGGATCTGAAAGGCAAATCTCTGATTTGCTTTGGAGCCCTCTACAGACACACTCTTAAAGACAACTGTTTGAATGAGCCACATATGTCTATGGTTTAGGTGATGCAAAATGATGTATACAGTGAAGTAGTAATTCATTAGAAGTTGTTTTTTATTTAGTTTGGGTTTGGGTTTTTTAACTGTTTTCACACAGCACACATTATTCAGGAAATGAGTTGTTTTCCTCTTCTGAAATACACTGCCTGCACCTTTTATGATTGCATAAAAGCAAGACAGGCTGTCAGCTCACAGACTATATATTCAGCCCCATGGCCTGAAACTCCTATAAGGCCTCGTAAGAGATTTTTATAAATATTTCTTATTTTAATGGCATTCCATCAGGGAATGAAGACTGATTCTTAGCATAATTTATGTGCTAAGACACCTGCAAAATACGTCAACTACATAGGTCATTCCTAGAGAATAATCTGAAGATGTTTCAACATACAGAATAGAAAATAATTCAGCAATACCTTCACTCTGTTACTGAGCAAACCAAAATAGTTTCTTTGAAAAAACTGAGACTGTTCTATAAATCTATGTTAAGATAAACTGATAGTGTATGCCAGCTCCCCCTCTCAACGCATTAAAATGGATAAAAGCTAGAATTTGCAAGAGCTGACACTCCTGGAAAGAAGTGTGCTCCTGAAAGCCATGCAGATATAGCACTGAAGGACTTGGAACCTAAAGGACTTCTCTTAGTTCAACATACCTTCTACTAAGTCAGCCATTTCTTTGCTTAACAGTCAACAAATAAGTTAGAATTTTACCTATAATGATTTAACCTATGGAAACAGGTTAACAGTCTAATCATTTAAGTGAAGAATATTAACTTTGGATCAGTTCCATGCAAATTTTTAAGTGAAATATAATGTTCTGTCAGACCAGTACATTTCCAGAGTTTAGCTTATCGTATTTTAGGTTATGTGTTTGCAAGGAAGTACTGCAGGCCAATAGAAGCCAATTTGAAAAGTGACTGTGGTACAAGCCCCAAGAATCAGGGATAATTAGCACTCTCAGTTCAGAAGTGCACTTACTGAAATTTCCTGTCCTTTGTCCTTCCTGGGCTTGGAATGCACAAAACACTTTTTCTCAGTTTGTCACTATTTCAGTATTTAGACTGTATTTACATTTAAGAATATACTTTGGTTTGCCATTGTTACATATAAAATTACTTTATATACTATACTCAACAAGCTCATACCTCAGTCAACACTTCAGCAACACAAAGAAGTTCATTAAGCCAGCCAATAGCCCACCCAAACAGTTCTGTGATTGTACTTTTTTTATCTTTCATAAGACAAAGTGATCTAATAGATTAAGAATCAATCAATAAACCTATATCTATTTTAAATCCTGTCTGTACCATCTCAATGGCAACATCACAGGGCTCAGAGCAACTATGCTTGAGGTTGTCATTAATTAAAATGACTCCCTCAGGTATGTTCGATTTAAACCCCTTTCATCAGGAAAGTGTTTTACAGCCTAATAAACTGCTTCAGATCAGGTTGAAACTCTTCAGAAGAGACCAAATGACTGATGTAATTGTGACTTTAGTTATCACTATGCAGCAAGAGTATCCTTTTGGCCAGCTGTTTGATTAACCCAGCTCCTTCTGTGCTTTGAAGGCTTTCCCTTGTGCACACACACTTGTGCCAAGTGGGCAGCTGTTTACCGAATTCCTGTCCAGGCCTCCAAGATCCATACTGAGAGGGATCAGCTCCTTATGACCCCAGTTTAGTTCCCGTACAGCACAATTTCAGACTCCTCCTAAAAGATGCTTTTATCTTTTTGTATCACAAAATGTTTGACATTTTCATGGCCAGAGTGAGATACACAGGTTCAGTTCCAATCCTCTACCCAAGAAATTCAAACATTACAGCTCACAAATGTTAAAAGGATTTACTTATTCATTATATTTACTTTTTAACCCTAAAATTCTTGAAGCAATGAAGTCACACTTCAGAGCCTCTTGTTTCCTCCTGCAAGTGCCTAGCTTGAACAGTCCAATTACTTTTTCTTCTGACCTTGTGATGTTTGTACTTACTGCAGCACTTCATCATAGCTCCTACGCAATCAAGACTACCGTGTACAGCTTGGTTTATGGCATGGTGGACAAGTAACTTAGTATCTAGGGGATGAAGTTTTCAGTTCCTTTGAGAAATGCATTATGTGGGGTTGGAAAGAAATTGAATCTTTCTTTTCCCTACATCCTCTTATTTACGTGGAAATGTTTGTTGTCTTCATCTAAGAAGCAGAAATTGTAAAGCTGAGATATTTCATGTTGCTCTATCCACAGTGCATTAATTGCTTCTGGCTTTCAGGTGAAATGTCACAAATTTTAAGTACCACACATAATGTGGATGCTCACAGCAAATCACATATTACAGGTTCACCTGCTATTTGTGCTCCTGCACTCAGTAAGGTGATTTGATCTTCACCTCCTGGTTGGAGTAATTAATGTGTCTTGTGGCAAGTACTTTGTCTTGGCAGGGTCAGTTCCCTTCCAAATGCATTTTAGCTGTGAATTCTCAAGGACAGAAAATTTCTCATGTCAAAACCATGCCATTTAAAGCAGTTGAGAAGTTGTAGAAAGAGGGAAACAGAAGGAATCATTACCTCTTTTTTTTTCTTTTTTTTACTCTTGAATGCCACAGTAAGAACAGTTTCAGGTAAGCTTTCAGCAAAGCATGTACATTACCACTGGAAATTATTTTCTCCAAGTAAGATGAGCCAGCAATAATCCCACACCAGCTACCTTCCATTTGAAGTCACATTTGAAGCATCAGAGTTCCCTAGTGAAAGCAAGATGAGTTTTTGCCTAGTTTACTGGATGTTTGATTCAGCTGGTCACTGCCACTTGCCATCCAGAATATTCACTTTTCTTCCCACTGCGCCAGTTGTAACACTCTTATTGAAATCTGAAAACAAAACAAAACAAACCTAAAATAAAACTAAAGCAGTCAAGTTTTATTAAAAATTTCACCAAGATTCTGAAGCTGGAGAAGAAATCTGGTAATATCCCTTCTGTAAGAATTTAGGGTATCTTTGAAACTTTTTTTTACAAATCTAAATAATCCTATGATCTTTCTTCCCTTACTGCTAGAAATGTGCTGTCCTCTGCCCATTTTCCATTTAGTGTGTAATGCAGTCTTTTCAATCTGCAAAGCTGTGTTTGTTCTGCAGGTGAAACATACGTTTTTCAAACTTCTGCATGCACTGTCTCAGATCCCTTGCATCAGAAACTACTCATGCAGCAGTTTTTGTTATTTTGCCTAAGCCCACTGAAAAAAGAAAATGCACACTTTAATTTGCTGTGATTGCTACAGGTGCTTCTTAAATAATACTTTCTGATATGACTGCCTACTAAAGAAAAGGGAAAAAAAAAATCCAAACAGATCTAAAATGCAGGAAGAGCTATTGAAATCAGTTTCAACAGGCTTCTCTAAAATGTTACATGAAGTTAAATGAATAGTACTACAAGAAGTAACTTTACAGTGGTCACATATCACGAATGGAAAAGCAAGCATATTTAAGTTTCATGATTTAATAGTATGTACATGCACAAGGATAAGAGGAAACCAACAACAGATAGGGTTAAATTACGGAACTGTTGGAGTGAATTTTTGAGGAAAAGAATGACCGAGGACTGCCGCAGGAGCCGTCTTGAAGCAGTAAAGGAGGTGAAATCCAGTAGATGGCACTCAAAGCTACAGCACAATCCCAGAGCTTGCAGGGGCCTTAAACGTGCTGCCCTGCAAGCAGCGGTCAGCAAGCTGAGAGCAGAGATCCCAGCAAAGATCTGGGGGAAAAGACTTACTAGTGTGCGAGGTGCTGTGCCACGGTATGCAAGGCAGCCGGGCTGCAGAAGACCAAGACAGGTGCAGATGGCATCTAGGTAGAAGTTCTGGCCACAGTAACCTGCTAGCTCTCAGCAAGGGTAGACGCGTTTTTCCATTGCAGCTTAGGCGCCTTTAACTCCCTGGCCACTTCCCACCTCACCCCACAACTAGCAGCAAAACTATGGAGGGAAATTATGAGTTCAGCTTCATAATAGGTTTTAAACAAGGGCATATTGAAGCAGAGTAAGGAAAGCAGTGCTATCATCTGGCTGAGAAAATTGGGGCTGTTCAGCATGGAGAAGGCTGAGTGGAGACCTCAGAGCAGCCTTCCAGTATCTGAAGGGGGCCTGTAGAGGTGCTGGGAAGGGACTCTTCATTAGGGACTGTAGTGATAGGACAAGGGGTAATGGTTTCAAACTTAAAACAGGGGAAGTTTCGAGATACAAGGAAGAAGTTCTTTACTGTGCGGGTGGTGAGGCACTGGAACAGGTTGCTCAAGGAAGCTGTGAATGCTCCATCCCTGGCAGTGTTCAAGAGTGGGTTGGATGAAGCCTTGGGTGAAATGGTTTAGTGTGAGGTGTCCCTGCCCATGGCAGAGGGGCTGGAACTGGATGATCTGAAGGTCCTTTCCAACCCTAACTATTCTGTAATTCTATGATTCTATGATCATCTCTCAACAAGAGCTTAGAAACAAGCCACAAGGCAGGGCAACTCCCAGTACTGAACTTTGTTTCAAAATGAAGGTGCTTCTTCAGTTTAACATTCACATCCACAGAGCCAGCAGTGGCTCACCCTGACCAAGACCCTAGGCTTGTAATCACTGTAAATAGAGATGAGTACTCTACCCTGCATGCATAATTCACTGTGTGCGTGTACTGCTAATGTTTGCCTAAACTTTGTTCTTCCTTTTACTGCCTTTAGAGTTCACAGGATCCCTTGAGAAATATGAGGAAACAGGTTCTTAAAACCAAATCAATTAGTGCATTCTAAAACATACATACTGTTTATATAGGTAAGCATAAAACCCAACAATAACTAAGACATTAATCCTTAATAAGACTTCTTTTTTTTTTTCCTTTTTTTTTAATCTGTATCTCTCTTCCTCCACAGGGGATATTACAACTGGTCACAGCTACCAGGACTGAACCTTTCCTTTTACAGAGCAGATGCTATTGGCCCTTCTGGGCTGAATCTGGAACTTCTTTACAGCTGGATCAACAAGTTCCATGAATATTCAGGCCCTAAGGAATTTGGGCAGATATTCAAGAAGTGGCAGGAACTAGCTGATGAATCTAAAGCTCTCCCAGGTTTTTATGCTGAAAACACAACTATTCAGATTGCTTTATGCTCTCATGTGAGCACATTAAAGCATATGAAACAACAACAACAAAAAAATCCTGCTCTATTGATAAAAAACATGCAGCCATTTCCAAAGCTGCTCCTCACAGAAATGCACATTATCGCCCCGTAGCTGCTGCTTGACCCATCCCTTTGGGTGAGAACTTGCTTTTGTTCTGCTCTTCCTCTCCTTGAGAGTAGTAATATGTGGGGATAGAGAGCTGATCAAGGGTTACTTTCTGAAGGGCTCAGGTCACAGACAGCATTTGCTCCCCCTGCCTCAGCTCTGAGATGGGCTGGGAAGCAGGTATGACAGACACAGATCCAGGGACTGCTGTGGGAGGGAAGCAGAAGAGGAGGGGCACAAAGGAACCGAGATACAGCCTCTTTGCCTCTGCTCCAAGCTCTCAGGGCAGCCTCATCCTCAGTCCTTCAGGCACGGGCTTCTCTGCCACATGAGCTTCTCCAGCACCAGCTGCTAAACCTGCAGTTACCTCTTGGATGACACATATTCCTCTACCCCCTTTTTTGCCAGCTTCTGGAAGAATTTGCACTGGAGACAAAGCACGCAAGAATCATCTGAAGAAAAATGCTCCCCAAAGACAAAACACAGAGCACTGCAAAACCCAAGCATTCAGCCTCTGGCCACCACTAACAAACAGACCTGCCTGGTAGCAGCCAGGGCTACAGTGACTGCTCCCTGCCTTCCAAGCAGCCTAGCTACATGGAGGAGCAAGAAGACATCTTTGTACTTTCCCTCAGAACCAGCACCAGCAAATGCAGCCTTGACACTAACCAAACAGGGACTCCAACATGCTGGTCAGGAGCAACCAGAGGTGGCCCAGAAGTGGGGATCGTACCAGTGCTTTTTGGATTGATTTTCCTCCTGGGAATAGTGGGAAACACATTGGTGTTGGTTGTTTTGGAACATTTCCGGCCTAGAAGACGCCCACCGTGCAGCATTACCAACATCTTCATCCTGAACTTGAGCATTGCAGACTTCTCCTTTCTGCTGTTCTGTGTCCCCTTCCAGGCCACCATCTACTCCCTGCCAGAGTGGATCTTCGGTGCCTTCTTTTGCAGATGGGTTCACTACTTGGCTATGGCAACAATGCTGGTCAGCATCTTTACGCTGGTGGATATGTCCATGGACAGGTACATTGCTGTGGTCCACGCCAAGAGTTCACACTGCATCCGCAGCAAACACAACGCTGCCCTTGGTGTGGCTGTCATTTGGCTGCTGTCTCTAATCATTGCCATCCCTGTGGCCGAGCACCAGGCCCTCGTGAGTGGTCATCAGCAAGCACCCAACAGCCTCTTCTGCTGGGAGCATTGGGCAAATGGTTCAACAGCCAAGCAGATGTACAAGGTCACCATCCTGTTGGTGGGGTACCTCCTGCCCCTGGTGCTCATCACCTTCTGCTATGCCAAGGTGGGTGAGAGGGATGGGAGTAATGTTTAACTGGAGGGAAAGGTCACTCCCACACCTTTGGTGGCTTGGATGTGTACACTCAAGCTGCCCAGCCAGCAAACAATAGGTACAATCCTTTCCATATTCTTTCCGGTATAGAATACTTTTGAGGCAGGGGGAGGGAAAGAAAACAAAATGAAATTATACCAGCTCACAAAAAGAATTACAGCTGCTAAGTTGACACCCAGCCTGACACCCAAATACTGTAAAGACTTGCTGGTTTTCCTATTTTTCAATTTGTTCTTTCTTGATAACAAATGTTTGTTCCCAGCAGGAGATAAAATTAATGGAGGAAGAAGCAATGGCACAGAGTGTACAGAAACAATATTAAAGACATCACCCCAATTTCTTTCTTCCTTTCCTTTTTTTTTTTTTTTTGACACAGAGCTCAGACACTGTGCCTTGCAAAAAAGATCTTAGAATTGGTTTTATTCAGCAAGAAGTCTCTTCCTTTCTTCTTGTGGATTGCTATAGCTCAAAGTTTTTGTTTCCCCTTACTGATCTTTACTGTGCTTAAGTCTGCGAGTTGTCCTAGCGTGCAGAATAACTATTCTGTGAACTCTGAACTAATACCCTGTTGTGGAGTGCCAAGGACTGAACTTCCTTGTCAGTAGTCAGTGGCAGGTCTACCCTCTTGGAAACAAAATGTTTTCCTATTTAATAAAAAAAAACATTACTTTCCATACTAATCTGTTCTGCTATCATTAGCGCAGATGATAGCAGGAAAACACACTTAGGTTTAAGCTAAAAATCCCTAAACCTTAGGCTTTGCTTGCCAGAAAAGGAAAAAGCCACTAGAGCTCTTAACTCACTGTAGCTCCAGCTGTTTGTCCCCTCACTGCCCTAGGTCAGCACAGCATCAACTGAAAGGTAAGCCACATTTAATAATAATTGCTTTAGAAAATTTAGTTTCTTAGCTTCAAAGGCCAGAGAATTGCCAGGTTACTGCTGTGCTGTAATCAGATTTCAAAAGCTGATCTAGATGTTGTTAACTGAGCATTTCCCTACAGTGCTTTAACATTTCTTATAATTCTCTCTCTGAAATGAGAACCAACTCCAACTGCCTGCCCCATTTGTTAGTGCTGCATTCAGGACAGTCATACCAGGGTACACTATTGGCAGCCTGCTCTCTGCCTGTGTGTATAATCAGCCTAGACAATAAATGTAGATAATCTCAGGCACAATCTAAAATTCAAAATCCATGGAAAGACTTCTCTGGATTTCAGCATAGTGCTGGTGGAGCTCTTATTATATGCTGAACTATATCTTCTGGAAGCACAGCAATTTCAAAGCTTTTGACAAGCCTTGTTTCTTGAAGGAGAAAGAACTGTGCAGAGCTTAGAATTAAAAGTCTTAAAACATCAAATTCAACTCTGGTTGAAGTCATGCTAAAACATTTTAATTTTTGGTGCTTGTATGAAAAGTTCAAATACTAGTGCACACAATTCAATTTCCCATTCAGTACATTACTCCTTTTTTCCCCCCAAGGTTCTGTATCATCTCCATACAAAAGTAAACATTTTCAAGAAGTCAGAGAGATCAAAGAGGAAGGTAAATATCTTTGGTTTAATCTGTACACTGACTATAATATAATAGATATATGAGGTTTCTAAAATAACTAATAGCCTTTTCAAGCTCCATATGCATACTGAAATGTCATTCATGTACCAGTCTTTCATCTCAGGTTTAGAATTCATGTTGACAGTTTATTGTATCGTTATAGACACAGTACATTATGTTGTCATTATTGAAATGCTGTATTGATCTCTATATACATGCCTTTTGATTTATTGTGCTATAATAGAATCCCACAATTACTATATTTTTTACACTGTCAGCCAGTAAGATACTTGGACTATAAAAATATTTAGGTGTTTTGAGGACACCTTAGCAAGCTAAAAGGAAAACACTTGAAGATCTCTGAAGTACTTTTGCTGCTGTTTGCATGTAAGATCTTTTTTAAGGTTTGCAAGAACCTAGATCCTGGGTTGATCCCTCTGCAAGCCAAAGAACAAGATTATCCCTGGTTCAAGCTGCATGAAATAAGCAGAGTTGCAAGCATTTACTGGGAAAAATATTAATGATAGTTGCCCCCTGCCAAAAAAAAAATAAAAAAAATCTTAGACTGGATAAGCCATAATTAATAGAAGCCTTCAGGCAGCAAAACTCACTGGCTTCAGCGATGCAACATCAGATTGACCTGACATGAAAGTGAAAAATGCTATTTCAGTCAGAAATGTTTTAATTATTGAGTGTACATTGATAAGTGAAACTGTGGGCTATCTGACTAGTCAAAGACAGGAAGGGGTGAAGTACCATTAGATGCTGACAGTGCAGTCTGGTCACAGTCTGTGCCAGTGATGCTGCAGCTGTACAACCCAAATTAGCAGTGTGTGTGCCTCTGAGCAGATGGGACAACCAGTGGAGATGACTAGAGAAAGCCTTGATTTGTCTCAGTTGATGCACTTGCCTGTTTCAGGGCTACCTACCACACAAGGGCATCCCTACACAATATTGTTGTGATTCCATTTATGATATAAATGAAGGCCATTACAGCAAACAGGGCCATTTGACTGAAAAAGGTGTGCAAGACACAGAAATCAAAACTTTGACGTGACTCCAGAAAAAGAGACAGACACTGGTACCACAGCTGCAACAAACTACAGATGTTTTGAAACACAGAAACACTTTTGAACAAGTTTGGTCCATTAATTTATTTACTAGCCTGTAAATCTAGATCACTGTGTATGTCAGCATATACCGGACATCTTGCTTGTTCTGAAATACATGTGTGGCTTCAGTGGCTAAACCTAAATTGCCTTGATCTATCAAAAGAAATTGCAACACAACAGCAGTCTTCCAATATGAGGTGATAAAATCACCTGATTCATACCTGTTAATTCACAGCATGCATCTTGACCATACTGATAGGGAAAACAAAGTGTACAAAAGACTACAGTCTGGAGCTATTACTGCTCAGTTTCTACTTTATTCATACAGTTTCAAGATAGCACACCTGACTCTAAGCACACCCATCCCTAAGGGAAGGGGGTTTGGGTTTGGTCTGTTTGGCTTTTTGTTTGTTTAGTGTCCTGGTTTAAACCCAGTCAGGCAACTTGTTCACTCACTCCCAGTGAGTGGTGCCGGGCTGACAACAATCAAGCCCCCCCCCCCCCCCCCCCCCCCCCCCCCCCGGGCTCTCCCCTTCCCCAAATCACCACCGCTACCACCAACAACAACAATGATAAGGGAAAATAACAAGGGAAGAGAATACGATACCACCGGCCAAGAAACGAGTCCCACCCGGAAGCCCCTGTCCTTCCGGGTAACTCCCAGTTACCCCCCACCCCGGGCATGACGTGCTGTGGTATGGAATATCTCCCTGGCTAGCCTGGGTCAGGCACCCCATCTCTGCTTCCTCCCGGCTTCCCCTCCTCCCTGGCAGAGCATGAGCCTCACAAAGTCCTTGGTCAGGGTAAACATCACTTAGCAACAACCGAAAACATCGACTTCACCAACACTGTTCCCAGGCTGGAAGTCAAAACACAGCACTGCACCAGCTACCACAAAGGAGAAACATGACTGCTACTGCTGAACCCAGGACATTTAGTTTGTGGGTTTGGGGTTCTTTTGTTATTGTGTTGTGGTTTTTTGTTTGTTTGTTTGTTTGTTTTTAATAGATAGAAGTTTCCACTGCATACTGGTATATGAAGCATCTTCTCTAAGTAAGTCTTAAATGGCAGGCTTCACTTAAGCAGGATCTGAAGACAGTGCTGTCATGAAGACAATATTACCACAAGATATATCTGGGGTTCCAATGTGGATTTCATTGTGTGTCTGATGCCTTCAAATCACCTTTCTCTTCCCTTCCATTATTTGGCACCTTTCTGCTGCCTATCATTGTCCAATTTGACACAATATTGTACTGAATGTTTGTGTTAGTTGAAGCTATGTAGGGACTAGATACAAATAGTATCTCCGTAGATACTACAGGAGGGCCCTGTTTTCTAAGGCATTGCCCAACATTTGGACAATGTTGGATACATTATTATAAAGTTAACTACAAACATATTTTCACTGAATGGGCCTGGTTTATTAATAACCCAGAGAGCTCTGACAGCTTCCCCTTCCAAGTCAGTGTTCAAACACTTCTGAAAAAAAAAAAAAATTTGTCTTTAACAGAATCCTAAAGATGACATACAATCTTCCAGGCACATACAGCATATGCTTGGGCTGTGATTTGTAAGCTTTTATGTTACAGCATGATTATTTTCAAACTGCAGCAGCTTTCTCAACTTATGCACACTTGAAAATCTGCAAAAATTTCCCTTGCACAAAATTGGTTGCATCCTGACTTCATTTTCCATTCTTAAAAGAGCTTCACCTTTAATTCAGATTCCTACTTTGCAAATTTATATATATGCTTGTCATGTCAGCATTGGACATGCTCAATTTGTTTTTTTTTTTCCATTCATATGTAATATTTGTGAATTAGATAAAGGAAGAATTTTAGGAATTTTTGCAAGCTTAGACTGAAATTCTGCATGGTGAACTAAGACTGTACTTGCAGAATAGATACATGACTGTTTCCACATTTAATACCACACTAGTGGTGCAGGTTTGTCAGCCTTAAAACTGACATGGTGCGATGCTGCAGGATTCCTCCTTGAAGTTTTGGATAACCATTTCCTAAGGCCAGACAGCAACACCAGACGCTAAGAAATTCTGTGGACCCCTGTAACACAAGCAAAGTGTATTTCAGTTCTGTTATTTCCTTTCTGCATTAGGCAGAGTACAGAAAGTCTCTAATTTGGCTCCAAGGAAAGCTAACAATTGCCTGTGTGACAGTGCTGAAAAGTGTTTCATAAAAGCCCAGCCCTAGGAACTCTGAACGCACATTTGCAGTAAATAAGATGATTTAACAGTGGAAATTGATGTAAACCAAGGTCTACTCTGATCATGAAATTGCCCTGTGGTGTTTTACTGACCTCTGGAGCTCATCAGAGTTTCTCAATGTTTACTCAGTTTTGTCCTTTACTTCTTTAAAGAACAAATAACAAGACTTGCAAACTGAACAATCGGAAATGCTTTTTCAAGTTTAAGAATGTTTCTGGGGATGTGAATTTCACAGATATTTTGCAAGCTCCCTCCAAAGGACACTAGGAGTTGTGGAACCTTGAGGCCAAAAACTCCAATTAACAGACCATCTGAGCCATTTAAAGCTAATAAATTACTACTACCCTTTTCTATTGTTTAGCTACAATAGAAAGATGAACCATGCTTATCTGGTGGGAGAGCAGTGTCTCTTGTTCTGTGCTCTATTCCTTTCCTAATAATTCCAACAATTTTATTTTCCTTATTTTATTACTTAAAAAAAATAATTAAATTAAATAATTAAAAAAAAAAATAAGCTACTAGTTGAGAACCAAGCTGTCCACAAAATTACCGTAAGTCCAAGATCTTGCCCCAAAATTGTAATGGCCAATTCTAAGCACACCTCTCTCTAGGAAGCTGTTTTCTTCCTCAACTCATATAGAATCATAGAATCATAGAATAGTTAGTGTGGGAAAGGACCTTAAGATCATCAAGTTCCAACCCCCCTGCCATGGGCAGGGACACCTCACACTAAACCATGTCACCCAAGGCCTCGTCCAACCTGGTCTTGAACACTGCCAGGGATGGAGCATTCCCAACCTCCCTGGGCAACCCATTCCAGTGCCTCACCACCCTAACGGGAAAGAATTTCCTCCTTATATCCAATCTAAACTTCCCCTGTTTAAGTTTTAAGCCGTTACCCCTTGTCCTTTCACTACAGTCCCTAATGAAGAGTCCATCCCCAGCATCCCTATAGCCCCCCTTCAGATACTGGAGGGCTGCTAGGAGGTCTCCATGCAGCCTTCTCTTCTCCAGGCTGAACATACTGACTCCAGGCTGAATATACTCACAAATTATCTCTTAAACATTAGGGAAACAGAGATACAAGTTAGAGATTAACATAACACAAAAAAATAACTTACCAGTAAATCACATCACCAGACTTTGTATTCGAAGTCAAGAGAACTCCCAGCCCACACACAAAGGCTGAGGAGTACGGTATGGTGTGGTGTGGTGTGGTGTGGTACGGTACAGTAAGGTATGGTATGGTGTGAAGAAATAGGACTAGCTAGAGTAAGTCTGCTTTTGGAGTCACTGCAGAATATTATTAACTGCAACTAGTTTTGGGGAGTAAGGGTGTTAGCGTAAGAACTGACACATAACCACCGGAAGGGTTATATGAGGTGCTTTATTGCAGCACTGGGAAACCAGGGGTACACGCCCAAATCTGGCTTCAACCCCGTTACATCGCGCTCGCAATTTATACACTAAAAATGTCGTCACTAATACATATTCAACACAGATTACATCATTGACTAATACATATGCATCAAGGATTGCCACATCAGTCTATTACGATATCAGCCTCTTCTGCGCTTGCGCAGCCCCCCTCTGGTGGTCGTCCTGATGAAGTAAGGAGTCTTCCTCAGATGCAGTAAGAAGTCTTCCTCAGGTCGTCCTGTTCACTTTTTGTTCCTTGGACATGTTCCAACCATTATGTGGACACCAGCATTCTCTTATTTTCACTTGACTACTCCTGGTACCTTCGTGAGTTCTGCTTCGGTAGAGTTTCACAATACTTCCCTAAATCCACCCATATACACTTCCCCATATATGGCTATGTTAATTGCTTATCATTATAGCTACCATTGTAATATTTAGTTATAAAGTAACTAAGATACACAATAGCAGAATTTCAACTTGTTCTTAATACAAAAGAAACCCTCTACTGATTAACAGATTTTCAAATATAATCATCTTTTCTCTTTGTACTATTGTTTCAACGCACAATTTCACTTATTACTAACAAGGGGAAGGATGACCCAAAGTCCAAACCAAGTTTATTACATCCTCCATCCTCCCACAGAGCAGTAATAAAGGAAAAGTCAGTTGATATTTGCTGGTAAGACAGTGTGGAAGAACAGGCATAGGCTTCTTTATGCTTCTTCTTTCAGAATCATAGAAGGAAAACAAACAGAGAAAAAAACTACCACATTCAGAAAACAGCAGTTGTCTCACTAATGAAGCACAGTTTTTCTGCAAGTTAGCAAGAATGCACTGTTTAATAAAAACCTCGCTTAATGTTCTTTCCTGTTTCTGTGTGGCTGAGGTACACAGTACAAATGGATGGTCTTATCAGCTCTGAAAAAAGACGTGCAGCTAAGGGTCTCAAACTGTGACTAGGTCAGGAAAGTGACAAGCTCTCTACCTTGGGAAAGGGAAAAAAGACAAAAGCAGGAAAGCATAAATGAGAGTCAGATCACCTATAGAGATATCAAAAGAATAAGCAGGTAAATTCTGGACAATCTGTACAAGGCAGATACAACGGGTGGGGGCAAGGGGGGGGGGGGCAATAAGAGAGAAGTTTATTTGAGAAACAAAAATATTTAGGATTCTCCTAGTCTTCATTTCCCACGATGCTATAGATTCAAAAATAATGCTCTAAGTTACTTCATGATCTGCTTGAAACACTTCTAGAAGTATAAAAAGAGAGTTAGATAATCCAGTAGTGGCCATTGTGCATGTCTACTACGGACCCACTGAACCTTTGGAGGTGAACCAGAAGACTGGTACCAAGTGGGCATAGCTAGACCAACAGTAACCCATTAACTGTGCTAATTACCACAGCCCACTGAACACTCTCAAACACTACACAAACTGTTTGGGTCAGTCCTTTACAGCTGGTACTAAGGTTAGGTTTAGCTACAAAGTTATCAGATTAAAAGCCAAACAGATTTTATTTCAGTTTCCTCTGTCTTAACTAGATATTCCCCAACTTGAAAATACACAAGTTGCATTTCCAAAACAAGTTTCTTGAGTCATGAATTACGTACATCATTGCTCTAGTATTGTCTATGTTTTGTATCTGCAAGATCCCAAATAGATGGACCTCAGAAAAAGATTTGTGCTAATACATAGCAACTGCAAACCCATTTTTTAATATGCAGCCCTATGTTAAATATGTGGTTTGTTATTTCACAATAAAGGGAGACAAGAATATACGCATACATCCCTTATTCAAAAGAATATTTCAGTGCTTGCAGCCCCTAATTTAAGCTCAGGATGCTATGTCATGGTAACAAGCCTAAGCTACTTAACACTGCTGGAGGGTAATCAAGTAGCACCATTATTACTGTGCTAAAGGTAACTAAGCACAGTTCTAAGGGTAGAAACTGTTTATTAATTTGTTTAGAACCTTTCATAACAGAGTAGACAAGTTAGACCCCACAAGGCCACTATATCTGTCTTTCAGTTCCATCAGCTTCTAATCATACCACCACAAGGACAGCATCTGATTCCCAGCATGGCCAGTCTGAGGACGTTTGGGATCAGAGTTTGTTATTCACATGTGAATATGCTTTGTCAGTTTATATGTCAGGCAATTTTTCCCCCACAGTTACTTTCAATAGCCTTAATATTCCTCAGCCTCCAAATCCTATGGATTATTATTTCCACTCTCCCATGTAACATAGTTGCAGCCTCTGAAATGTTTGAGGTTTTATGGGCACTATCTATATTGATGAGAAACTTAACATGAGCAGGCATTGTGTGCTCACAGCCCAGAAAGCCAACTGTATCCTGGGCTGCATCAAAAGGAGCGTGACCAGCAGGTCAAAGGAGGTGATCCTGCCCCCTTTACTCTGCTCTTGTGAGACCTCACTTGGAGTATTGTGTGCAGTTCTGGTGTCCTCAACATAAAAAGGACATGGAACTGTTGGAGGAAGTCCAGAGGAGGGCCACAAGGATTATCAGGGGGCTTGAGCACCTCCCGTATGAAGACAGGCTGAGAAAGTTGGGGCTGTTCAGCCTGGAGAAGAGAAGGCTGCGTGGAGACCTCATAGCAGCCTTCCAGTATCTGAAGGGGGGCTACAGGGATGCTGGGGAGGGGCTCCTTGTCGGGGACTGTGGTGGTATGACAAAGCGTAATGAGTTCAAACTTAAACAGGGGAAGATCCAAGATATAAGGAAGAAGTTCTTTGTGGGTGGTGAGGCACTGGAACAGGTTGCCCAGGGAAGTTGTGAAAGCTCCATCCCTGGCAGTGGTCAAGGCCAGGTTGGATGGAGTCTTGGGTAACATGGTTTAGTGTGAAGTGTCCCAGCCCATGGCAGAGAGGTTGGAACTGGATGATCTTCAGGTTTTTTCCAACTGTAACTATTCTAAAATTTTATGATTTTATTCTGTCTCCATTACTTATAGACTTATTTGCGTGAGCCAAAAGAAGGCAATCCTTGTTTTCCAGAGGAGAACTGGGTTTAACATCCTTTTTCATAATGTCATAATTTGCCCACCTGGCAGTTGTCAGTGTTGCCTGTGTTATTCTGCCTTCATTACTGACAGAGGAAGGCAAACTCACTCATCCCACAGACTCTCTTCATCACTGAAGCCATTTTAATTTGTGACGTTGTCTTTTCCAGACAGCACAGACCGTGCTGCTTGTGGTTGCTGTGTTCCTGCTCTCCTGGCTGCCACACCACATCATCACGATGTGGGCTGAGTTTGGGCAGTTTCCTCTGAACAACATCTCCTTTACCTTCCGCATCATCTCTCACTGCCTAGCCTATGGGAACTCCTGCATCAACCCCATCATTTACGCTTTCCTCTCGGAAAATTTCCACAAGGCCTGCCGGCAAGTGCTCACCCACAAGCTCTTCCTGCAGCCAGTTCCTGCTGAGAAATTGGTCAGAGTACGTATGGAGAAGTTTTCCACCACACACTCTACCACTAACATGTAAATCAGGCTCACAAATACATTTCAGGAGGAAGAGGAGGGGAAAGAGTGCTGTCTGGGGAAAACAAGTACACAAGTACATTTCAGGGAGCAGTGCAACCTGCAAAAATATGGATTTTGTTAGATTACCAGAGTGGTAGGAGGCATTTTCCATGTGGCTGTTAGGACACTTGACACAGCTTATCCTAGGGCACCTTGATAGGTGCAACATAAATTTTTTAATGTCCTTGTACTGCCCATAAGACAGAACTCCTATGTAGTTGTAGTTATGTCTAAAATTCATAGTAGTAGTAACATAGTAGTCTAAAATAAGAGTTCCACAGAAGACAGGACAGACAGAACAGTTAATTATGCATGCAGACCGTCATTAGGATGTGAGCAGTTAAGTGATGTTTAAAGAGCAAGAAAAAGTTTAAGAAAATTGACTCTAAAACACGTTTGAATACATCTTTGTTTCTTAAGCAAGTTTGACCATACACAAGCTACATTTTTAGCTCATTAGCTCTGATAGGTTCTCTAAATCTCTTTGAAGGCTTTGCTATAGTATTTACCTATTGGGTAGTAGAACTTTCACACGGCACACCACTGATGTGCATGTCTGCATTTGTTAGCTCTGTACCAGCTTACATATCCCAAGTTTTGAATGTGTATGCGCTCCCAAATGAAAGTACTGACGTTTATCTCCGGCTCCAGTAACTGTCTCTTTGTGAGCAACAGTCCCAGCGGCATTTCTCAAAATATGCTTAAAAGAACAGTAGTTTTGCTTGAAAGCAATGTTTACTTGAAAGCAATGTTTACAAAAGGCTTTATTGTTAAACATAGTGTTCTCTGAGTATGTTTATCTAAAGCTTTTAATTGGCTACTTTAGTATATACATGTCAAAAGTTTTGGGGGTTTTTGCTAGGAATATTTGTTGTGATGTGTTGTGACATGATGTGTTGTGACCTGTTGTGATGTGTTGTGATTAAGGGTACCATAGCAATGTTTGGGTTAAACATTGTTGGGATCAAGTTCAAGGTTCCTGTTTGTAAATACATAAAGTGCATATTACTTCAAAATTAAGACACATATGGGTAAAAGGACTTTATTATTTCACTGTGTTGTCTAATTTGATTATACAGTGCGCTACAATCCAGACTGACCTGTCATGGGATTCACTGTAACACAATTCATTGCAACACAATCTGCAACAGTTAGGAAATCTCAACCAGAACAACTGACTGATATAGTCCAGTATAACAACTATCAGAAGACAAATACTTAAAGTCAGACATTTGAGATCCCAAGCAACAACTTTCCTCAGAAACTTAAGAGGGCATCTCCGTGTTATTCTGGGAAGCAGTCACGATCACCAGCTGCCTCAGGAAAGACACTCTATGAAGCAGGTAGTAATTTATTCTAATACAGTGAAGTACTGAAGCTTGAAAACTATGAGATTCAAATTATATGACGCTTGAGATGGAGCCAGCCTGAAATTTCTTGGGCAAAGCAGACAAGCAAATATTAAAATTTCTTACTTGGAATTTCTCAAATACAATTTACCTCACTTAAATTAATATGTATGCCTACAGTTAAAGAAAGCTATTTCTCAGCAGTTCAGAGAACCTGCTACAACGTAAGATGCATATTAATGAATGGAAATATGATCTTTAAATTACAATACTAGATTTTCTCCAGATTTCTGTTCAAGTTTTTGCCCTACTGTTACACATGAACAGTAAGGTTCTGCTTGTGGACACAAAAGCTGCCTGAATTGCAGCTGAATGATCTACAGAGGAGACACAAGTAGTCTACACAATGAATGGTCCAAAATACAAAGATTTCCAGTCTCTGAGAGAATTGCTCTTCCACTGCATTTCTAATTGAAAGTTTTCTATTATATGAAATAATTTTACCACAGCTTGCAACTTCCCCTAAGAGCCCCTTAACTGTGCAATGTGAGCAGAGTACATGGGTACAATTTCTAGGTTATACAGCCTTATTCTTAACTGATTGCAAGCTTTCTGTTTGTTAGTTTTTACTCAGAATACTACAAGTAGCTCCAGAACATGATTTCCTCTACTATCAGATATATAGATACTGTTCTGTGTTCTTTTAGCAGCTTACTATTTCTACATACTGAGCTTTAGTACAGGCTAAAGTGGACAGCATGGGAAAAACAACCATTAAAAGAAAAAGCTATGACAAATCACTGAAACAGAAATCACGAGCTAAAATGCTGGGTTTGTGTGATTATTTACCATGGATACAAACTAGCAGCCAGATACAAAATAACCTCCTTTTGGTTTAAAGCAAAAAAGAACAATGGCAAGGTACTCAAATCTTACACTCACTCTGTTACAGGTGAGCCGTTAGAACCTGTGAGTTAGAATTAGAACCTGACTTCCTTCCTTTAACAGAAGATTATTTTTTTTTTTTTTTTTATTTTTGGTGTGTTGGGTGGTTTCCTTTGTTTTTACAATCAGTTTAGTCTGGACATGTCATCACAGCATGCAGAAACAATGTGCAGAAAATACTTAAAGGCTTTTAAAAAATTTATTTAATAGAACACAAAGCAGCAAGATCCCATTTCTCAGTGAAAGGTGACTATAAAATGCCAAATTAAGACCCTGAAAAAGCCTCATGCTTTATTGTGCCTTCTTGTTCCCACCAAATAAGATAAAGAATTATCTAGTCTAGAATTCTCTGGATGAACTGCTACATCACAAGAAAATCAGATACAATTTGTCCTTTAGTCTTTCTACATGTACCTATAATCACTTAAGTTAGTAAAATATTTTCATTTTCTTTCCGGCCACAGTAGTAATTTTAAAGCTTCAACAACGAACGTTTAGCTGCTGGTGGTAGGAAGCAATGAAACACGAGAGCTGCACATCATACAGGCATGCTTTCATTCTGATATGGATTCAAGTTAGAAGTCTAAACAAAAATAAACAAAGTCAACTGATAATTCTTCAGTCTTCTTCAAAGGCATTATGTTACTACTCACAAACTTCCTTCTGGAAAGCTATGAACTGTGATGCCTCTGGACATGACTACTGCAGCTTAAAGAACACTGCACTGAGTTAACCTGGTCACCTGGTTCGGGAACTCAATCCTCTATTCTTCCAGCCTAACTTACACACAGAAGCTCATTTGCTCTGCCTTAATGACTTCACACTTAGGCCATATATTACTGCTTGGCAATCTGAATCAACCCCTGTTAGGTGAAGATTTATTAATAGAGGAGTCCATGCCTGGGAGACCTGTCCTTTTCCGGGCTGCAGTCTCTATTTTCCGCACCAGGTCCACATCCCACCGATGGGTAACAAAACTAACCACAGCTCCAGGTGTCTTGCTTCCAACCCGTCCAACTCGCCCCACGCGGTGCAGGTAGTCCTGCAGGGTGTCTGGGAAGTCATAGTTGACCACTAGGTGCACACTGCTGGTGTCCAGCCCGCGTGAGGCAAGGTCAGTGCAGACAAGGATAGACACGTCACCCTTCTGGAATAAGGCAAAGATGTCAGCTCTAGCAGCTGCTGACATCTGTCCCTGCAACCTCAGGTGCTTGATTTTGTGGTCATCCAGGATATAACCCAGCCAGTTGACAGTGCTGGCACTTTTACAGAAGATAATAATAGCCCCACCGGATGCTGGGTGGTCCTTGAGGAGCTGCAGCAGTTCAGGCAGCTTGTCCTGACCTTTGATGCGGACAAACTTTTGATGGACATGGGGTGGCAGGCGGTGCAGGCTCTGGGTGGCAAGGGTGACAAACTGGCCCACATCGGTGAACTTCCCCAGCGTCTGGCTCAGCCCCGTGGGGAATGTGGCTCCAACCACCACCACCTGGGTCCTCTCTTCCCCCGGGCCAGCTGGCCCGGGCGCACCAACGGCCAGGGGCGCGTGTGCCAGGATCTCCTCCAGGATCCCCGCGAAGGAGTCATCCATCAGGGTGTCCGCCTCGTCCAGCACTATCCAGCGCAGCCGCTCCAAAGCCAGGAAGCGCCGCCGCAGCGCCTCTCGCAGCGCCCCGGGGGTGCCCAGCAGCACAGCGGGGCCCGGCGGCGGGGCCCGCAGCTGCCTCCGCAGCCCGCCGGCCGCGCCTCCGCCTGTGAGCCCGCGCACATGCAGCCCTGCCGGCCGGCAGAGCACCGCCGCCACCGCGCCCACCTGCAGCGCCAGCTCCCGCGACGGCAGCACCACCAGCCCTCGGGGCGACGGCGGCCCCGCCGCCTCCACCTCCGGCGCCGGGGGGCGGGAGAGCAGCCCGTCCAGCAGCGGCAGCAGGTAGGCCAGAGTCTTCCCGCTGCCGGTCTCGGCGGCGCAGAGGGCGCTCCTACCGCGGCGCAGCGCGGGGATGGTGATGCGCTGCACCGCCGTGGGACGGCTGATGGAGAGGCCTCCCAGGCCGGCTAGCAGCGCCGGCTGCAACCCCATCTCCTCAAAGGACGGGCCCTGCCCCGCATCAGGCGGCGGCGCCTGCAGGGCCGGAGCCGCCGCCTGTGAGGGCTCCAGCTGAAAGTAGTCCCCGCAGGCCTTCCTGTGCTTCCAGCCTGCCGACACCAGCTGCGGTTGCTCCCAGCGCCCCACCGTCTGCCAGCGGGGCTGGCTCAGCTCTGGCCGCCGGCTCCGCAGCAGCAGCTTCCCGGTTGGCGGCGCCGCAGCCTTTCCTTGCTTGCGCTCACGGCGCTGCGCGGCCCGCTGCAGCCGCACCCGCAGGGCCCAGGGGACGCGCACCACGTTCTCGGGGGGCGCCGCGCCCTCCGCCGCCCCGGTGGCCGTCAAGCGCCGCGGAACCAGCGGGAAAGCAGCCACCGCCCCGCCGCGACTCAGCGCCATAACTGCCTTTCACGTGGCGGTGGCGGCGCTGCCCGATGACGCTGTGAGCAGACGCTTCCCCTGGTTCCCCCGCCCCCAAGAGTCGCGGCATAGCCACGCGAAAACGGTGAGTGCCCCGGAGAAGGGGCGCGCGGCAGTACCTTACTTAGGGGCGGCGGCAGCGGGTACCTCAGGAGGCGGCGGCTGCGGCGGTGGGCGCCTCATGTTCTCGTTTTCGGTTGGAGGCTGAGAGCTGACCCCCGAGGGAGCAAACATGGCCCTAAGCGCCTCTCGCAGGGGCGGCCCGGGGCGCCTGCTCGGAGAAGGATCCCCCACGGGCCTCCCTGACACCTCAGGGCCCGCTGAGCGAGCGGCAAAGCAGCGGCTAGGTGGCTCGCTGCCGTGGGAGCGCTGTTAGGTGTGACCAGGCCACACGCTGCTCCCACTTCCATTCCCGCCAAAGGAAAGTTCTGGGCGTTCACTAGTAGGAAAAGATATTCCATGTCGCTCTCCTGCGATTTTCTCTCTCAGGTATTGCCGCAACAGGAATGACGGTGAACACAGCTCTGTGTTTTAGAGGAAAGAAGATCCTGGCTCCAATGGTCAGAGTGGGAACATTGCCTATGCGTCTTCTTGCTCTGGACTATGGTGCTGATATCGTGTACTGTGAGGTATGAAGGATAAGCAGATGAGAGCGTCTTAACTAGTAATATAATTGTACAGAAAAGTGCCATTAGAGTTTGTTTATTGTAGAACTTTTTCTTTCTACACATACTTTTCATTAGAAAAATGGAGAAAGGTCCCTGGCTAAAGGCATTTCCCTTTGAGCAGTCCTCAGATTACACAAACCTATATTTTAAGACTGTTTAATAATTTCAGTTTATTTAGACAAGACACGATAATTTCCTCACATTCTACTGGGTTTGGTTATTCTTGGTGTTTGGTTTTGTTTGGGTTTATTTTTTTGAGTCATAACATTGAAGGAAGCTTTAGACACATACTGTCTCACCTGGTTAGTTATGCTGTGCTAACCCAGAGCATCGGTATATACCCCTCACAGTGCTGCTGTCATTGTTGCTTAACCACTTTTCTTAAAGCTGACAAGTTGAGACTCCAGTTTGCTGCAGGTATCACTGGTAAGGACTGCTCTGTAACTAAAGGTACTTAGTCTTCACTGTCTTTGTTGTTACAGTGCATCAGTATTCCCATTTTCTCCTTCAGCATGATTATTAGCTCTTCTATTGCACCAATACAAGTTAAATGACTCAATTCAAAGAAAAAAAAATAGTAAAGAGTTAAATATAATGTAAACATACCTTAAATACTAGTATTCCTGGGGAATATTAGATCTATACCAATAGAACAGACTGAAACAAACTGAGAATATGTCATTTATAATGTTCTTCAAGAATCTCTACAGCAGTAATCTTCTGAGTTTGCTCACTGCCCCTCTTTGGGGAAGGGAGAGATTTGTTCTGAGAGACAATATGCTGTTTTTATCTTGGCCACAGCTCACCTTTTGTCTCTAGCTTCTGGAATTACAAGTAATATTTATTTACTTGGATCAGCTCCATGTGAAATAATTATTGCTGAAAAATGTGGTTTTTCTTGATTTCAGTAAGGCATTTGATACTTTCTCCCACAGCATCCTCACAGATAAGCTAAGGAAGTGTGGGCTTGATGATCGGGTAGTGAGGTGGATCAAGAACTGGTTGGAAGGAAGAAGGCAGAGAGTTGTGGTCAATGGGGCAGAATCTAGCTGGAGGTCTGTGACTAGTGGAGTCCTTCAGGGGTCGGTGCTGGGACCAGTGCTGTTTAATATTTTCATCAACGACCTGGATGAGGAAACTGAATGTACCCTCAGCAAGTTTGCTGATGATACTAAACTGGGAGGAGTGGCTGACACACCAGAGGGCTGTGTTGCCATTCAGCGAGACCTGGACAGGCTGGAGAGTTGGGCGGAGAGGAACTTGATGAAATTCAGCAAGGGCAAGTATAGAGTCTTGCATCTGGGGAAGAATAACCCCATCTACCAGTACAGGTTGGGGGCTGACCTGCTGGACAGCGGTGAAGGGGAAAGGGACCTGGGGGTCCTGGTGGATAGGAGGATGACCATGAGCCAGCAATGTGCCCTTGTGGCCAAGAAAGCCAATGGCATCCTAGGGTGCATTAGAAAGGGTGTGGTTAGTAGGTCAAGAGAGGTTCTCCTCCCCCTCTACTCTGCCTTGGTGAGGCCACATCTGGAATATTGTGTCCAGTTCTGGGCCCCACAGTTCAAGAAGGACAGGGACCTGCTGGAGAGAGTCCAGCACAGAGCCACAAAGATGATTAAGGGAATGGAACATCTCTCTTATGAGGAGAGGCTGAGAGAGCTGGGACTCTTTAGCTTGGAGAAGAGGAGGCTGAGGGGTGACCTCATCAATGTTTACAAATATGTAAAGGGTGAGTGTCAGGATGATGAAGCTAGGTTTTTTTCAGTGATGTCCAGTGATAGGACAAGGGGCAATGGGTGTAAACTGGAGCATAGGAGGTTCCATGTGAACATCAGGAAAAATTTCTTTACTGTGAGAGTGACAGAGCACTGGAACAGGTTGCCCAGAGGGCCTGTGGAGTCTCCTACATTGGAGATATTCAAGGCCCACCTGGACAAGTTCCTGTGTGATGTACTGTAGGTTACCCTGCTCTTGCAGGAGGGTTGGACTAGATGATCTTTTGAGGTCCCTTCCAACCCTTAGGATTCTGTGATTCAGAAGAACTCTCAAAATTCAGTAGAATAGTTGCTGCTGTCTGATACAAAATGGGCGTAATAAGGTGTGTTTTTCTTTTTTGACAAACAATAGTTAACAGCTTCCCAGTTTATGAATTATGACCTTTGCTTTATGTGGGAATAAGTGAGAATACCTTTTCTTATTCTCTGGGAGGTTACCTGTAGATCATTGTTGCGGATTAAGCCCAGCCAGTAACTCAGCACCATGCAGCCACTCACTCACTCCCCTTTTTATGCCCCCACCTCCAGACAGGATCAGAGGAGAATCAAAAGAATATAAACCTCACATGTTGAGATAAGAGCAGTCCAGTAACTAAAGTATAATATAAAACAAATAATGATAACAATAAGGGAAGTAACAAGGGAGAGAATATAAAACTAAAGAGGGAAGGGGAAAAAAACCAATAAACACAAGTGATGCACAATACAATTGCTCACCACCCACCGACTGATACCCAGCCCAACCTGAGAAGTGATCAGTCCCTTCCAGGTGACTCCCCCTGGTTTCTGTACTGGGCATGATGTGCTGTGGTATGGAATAGCCTTTTGGCTAATCTGGGTCAGGTGTCCTGTCTCTGCTATCTCCTAGCTTCTTGTGCCTCTCCACTTGCAGAGCACAAGAGACTGAAAAGTCCTTGATCAGAGTTAGCATTACTTAGCAACAGCTAAGACATTGGTGTGTTAGCAGCATTGTTCTCAGACTGAAGCCAAAACACAGCATCGTACCATCTACTAAGAAGGAGCAAAATAATTTTACAGCTAAACCCAGGACATTCATGAATAGAGAAATTACATGCAGTTACAGTGTCTAGAAGTCTTAGGCACTAAAAATGAGTGAGGCTTCAGACAGCCATGGTACTTTCTAGTATCTCTTACGCTTACTGGTAGCAAAGAGCCTTGTTACTGTGCAGCTACTGGATTTCTAACCACAGATGTGACAGGGCCATTGTATAGAACATCAGTGGAAGCTAGTAATGTAGAAATTGTTGATTTAAATTAAAAAACCAGGTCAACCAAGCCACACACATAAAGGTATTGCTTTGCTTACTGTTGAAGTCACAGGGTATGAGAAGTTGCTTAATTCAGTATTGTAAACTGTATAGTTAAACCAGTTTCTTCTTCACACATTTTGCTATAATACCAGAGAAACTGTACCTCAAAAGAGGAGACCCCCAAACGTAATTAAGTTGCAGTATATAACAAAACTGTAGTGTGGAAGTTAATCCTGTAACCAAACACCTGTGGCAGTTTTTTTCATTTCACCTCGAAAATAAGGTCTCCTACATGGTCTTCTCCCCTTCCCAACATTGCAGTGGAGAGACAGGCGAGTTAAGATGCCTTTGACATTGATTAGTGCTTGTAGTTAGATAACTGTCTTAATAGATTTTATAAGAAAAACTATGCTTTGTAGGTTTTCTTCAGAGCTTACAAGATAGCAGAAAATATTGCTGTTCAAGGCAAATATACTGCAGTTGTTTGGAAACAGAAAAGTAGAGATAAAGACATTTTGTAACTTTCTGTATGGTAAGGTTTCATTTTCTGATTTATCCTTTTGTCTTACAATTTCCCTCCCAGTCCCTTCCACATTTTAGAACTCAAAGCTGTTTCAAACTTAACATGTATAGTACCTGATGAGGAGCATTAGTTTAAAAAGTTACATTAAAAACATTACTTGTAAGACCTATAGTCTTATGACCTATAGATTGAGACTAACCTAATTTATTGCATGTCTGTGTCTTACCTGTAAATCTGTAGGTCTTAAACCTTGTCTTATTTGCTAAAATAGAGATTCTGTAATAGACTAAACTTGTTCAAGTAACTAACACTTATACCATGGGAGGGTTTTTTTTTCCCGTCAATTTATGTAGCAGTTGGATTAACAGCTGCATGTATCAGCAGCTAACAAGTTATATTGGCTCAGGTTGTAGCCCTTTGTCAATTAAAGGCAGTTCTTAGTAAGTTGAGTTGCATAAATCTGCAATTAAGCTAATATATGTAGATTGAAGTTCAGGGCCTTTTCTAAAGGAAAGGCAGAAATTCTGGAGGGGTGGTAACTGTAGAGTAGGTTCTTCAGTAAAGGTCAACACGAAGCTTCATTTTGTCTTTTAATAAATACAGAGAACTGCTGTCCTGGGTTCAGCAGTAGCAGTCATTTTTTCTCCTTCTTAGTAGGTGGTGCAGTGCTCTGTTTTTGACTTTTGGCCTGAGAACAGTGCTGATAACACAAATGTTTGGTTTGACCAAGGACTTTCTGAGTCTCATGCTCTGCCAGGGAGGAGGGGAAGCTGGGAGGAAGCAGAGACGGG